AATTCTTCATTAAGAATTTTCATACGGTCATGTTCAGTGAACTTGTTCTCTAACAAGCACCCACATAAATGTACTTACGTCTTACGCTAATGTTGATGGAATGCAACATTCTTGTCCAACAAGCATACAAACTATGTGCAAGTCTTTTATGGATTATTCGATATCCCATCTCGAAACATCCATCGACTTGGAACTGTATTTAAGATCACGGCTTTCAAGGTATGTTCCATGATCACCATCTCTATGCGCAACCATACCTTATAACCATAAGTGATCTAGGGATTTTTATCTTAAGTGCAATTATAAGATAAATGTTTTCTCTTAAGATAAAGAAATGCCTTATTCATAATATAATTCCAATAGACTGTATTTACAAGTAGAATAGTCCAATTAGATTGGAACGCCGGGTACCCTACTCTAACAAACAGACCCCAACAGCGCCACCACCCTCAGCATCAGGTCTGGCCCCACGGTTGTCGAAGTCGGCGACTCACTCGAACCACCACGCGTCACGTCCTGGGCCATCGAAATCAGCCACTGTTGTGCACCTTGGGTTGTGTGGCCAGAGTTCATCAAAACCTTTGGTCCACATTGCATCTCGCTACCGTGCATCGCCGAAAAACGCAGCAAGGCGTCGCCGCTGGCGTGGCCACTGGTCCGCAACACCGTCGGCGGTCCAGTACCGTTCGCGACTGTCGCTGAAGCTGCTTCGCCATGCCGATCGTCGCGCTCGCCGCCCGGCGCGAACACTCCGCATGCCCGCCGCTGTTCGCGAAATTGACCCTAATACATCTTCAACGTCTCCGTCAACCGAGTCAATTGACCTAGAGCAAGTGAGTGAAGCTCTCGCGGGTGACACTTAGGGGAGAATTAGGGTACCTCTTCTTTGGAAGTCCCCTCAAACGGATTTGGATGTCGAGCAAACGACTAGTTGCCCGGACGACTACTAGCATAGACCTCCTCGCAGGTGGCCGCTCTCTATTGTCTTCGGGTTAGGAACAATTCTGAGCTCAATCACAGATGGCAAAATCATCTCAAGCCGCGGTGCATGGCGTATCCCGAACAGTGTCAAGTTGTTCGCGCCTTATAGTAAAGAGCGCATGCATTGTCCTCCGCAAGGTTCCATTGCAGTCTGGAAGAAATTCTTACAGTTCGGCCTCCAATTCCCTCTTCCCCGCATAATATCCATGTACCTTCGTGATTGGAGCCTGGGTTTGAGTCAAGTTTCTCCCATCATTTGGATGAAGATCATTAGTTTATTCGTCCTCTTTTGTGGCGAGGGTTGGCAATTCCCTACTTGCGAGGAAATCAGGAGATTATTCTGCTTTAAGAAGTCGAGAAACGAGTCGGGTTGTATTTTATTTCAGTTCACATCACCGAATTCAAAGAACTGATAACCAAGGTTCCGGACTCTCTTCACAACTTCAAGGAAGATTGGTTTTGGGTTGGCGAAAGTTGGCTGACCCCAATATCGCATGATGATGTTGTCGTTGCTGAGCACCTCTACGTACCTCTTAAATTCGCTGCTGATTTTCGTGTGTTTTCTTTAAACTAGTCATCTTATCGTCTTTTCGTGAGCCTTTGTGACGATCTCACTCTCCGCCAATTCTGCGTCCAGCGTGGCGAGGTGTGCCGCCATGCCGTTCAGGTGAAGTGCATATTCTTCGACAGTTTTGTCGTCTTCAAATGCTGCGAGGTCGAATTTTCGACGTAGTTGTTGCGTTGTCAACCTTCTGATGTGGTCATCCCCGACTCTAATGGTCGCAATCGCGTCCCAAGCCTCCCTCACCATCTTCTTTTTTTGACGATCGTCGGTACCATCTCCGGTGGCACCGCGCCGCACAAGACGTCAAGCGTCATTATCTCCTCTTGTGGATCGACGTTGCCATTCGCGATCACGCCCTAGAGAGCCCTGACCTTCAACTTGACCTTCATCAGGAGCGCCCAGTTGAAGTTATTGGTCTTAGTGAGAACGTGATAACTACTTCAGTCGCTCACCTCACGGATCACTCGTCGGATCACAACGCCGTCCTTTAAGGAGCCCTCGTCGTTCTTCTTCCCACTCATGGTCCCAGGTACGAGTATCTCGGATACTATTTGTTAGAAACTCGCAGGGGAGACAACACTCGGTTGTTAACGAGATCACGGCAAAAACACAAGACACAAAAGAAAAACTCACGCTAACACTAAAGAACACGATCTTGTTTGGTGTTGTTGAATTGACACATTTTCTTATGTTACTCAATTGCATATATAAGGAAATAGAAGGAGCTAAATAAGGCAAGATTACATAGAAAGTATAATCAAATAAACTAATTTAGGTACATAAGAATTATACCCTATAATAAAAGATATCATACATTCTATTCTCTTTCTAATCACATCAAAACATTAATTAAATCCCATATATAACACATCATCATTTTTATAGTCTAGTTGACGAAAGCAAACATCAACACCATTTATATTATATATCAAAAATATGAATAAGAACTAAATTATAGTTATATTATAAATAAGAAGTACTAAAATTATTTTGATCATTTAAATCATATTTATTTATGATACCCAATTACATGTTATGAATTAGTTATTTTATAACAATATGCGGGTCCTATAACATGTATCATTTTAAATAAAAACAATAATGCAATTTAAAAAAAAAAATAGCATAGAAATTACATTTTCATTTTCAAATTTTTTGTTAACTAAAAATATTTTAATTATCCCAAAGAGACATTGGTTTTTGCTAAAAATATATGAAGTGCTGTACTGGTTTTGCTATTTAAATATATGAAGTGCTGTACTGGTTTTGCTATTATCCCAAAGAGACATTTTCAAATTTTTGCATAGGAATTTTGCTATTAAAATATTGTGAAACGTATAAATTTATCGCGAGCGCGCTCAACTTTGTACGAACAAGTATAAAAACTGCAATTTGCGGAAGCAATAATCAAAGATTTTAAAAACTCTTCAGGGAAGCATCCCACTTCCCCTCAGAACTCTTTCATTGATAGTTATTAAAAACATAGTTTGGACTTACACAATAGAACTCCCTTCTATTCTAGCCATAACTATGAATTAGCCTATCAACTAATTCTCCGGCCACCTCCCGTGGACTTATTATCTCACACTTACTCCCTAAGTGTAATTTCCAAAATGTTTGAATCAAAGTAAAGTAAAAATACAACCAAAATGATTTCAGTTCTTTTATCACTGAGTGTATGAAGAACTGAAATCCATGAACAAAATCTGTAAGCACTTAGACTTGGAGCTTGAAGATGACTCCAATATAAGAATGATAATCAGCCACAGTTTTGTTCTTCAAGTCCGAAATATATATCCATTCCTTAGAGTTGGAGTCTTTTCCAAGTGTAGGACTCCAATCATGATTTCCTTCCTAAAATGTAGTATGGAAGTGATAATCTTCCTTTTCTCTCTCCAAGATCTCCTACTTGCGTGTGCCTCTCTCCCCTTCTTTACATGAGATCCGATATCCTACAATATATAAGGGATAATGAGATCAAATAATTCTTTTAGAAAATATAAACTAAATTAAGAAATAATAAATATATGAAGAACTTCCCTTTTATGTCATCCTAGTGCATGCAGGAACTTGTTCAATCAAACACTCTTGATTTCGAACTCATGCCAAATAATATATCTTTCAATCTCCCCCTTTGGCATCTAGTTCGAAAATAATATAGTTCCTGCAATGAAACCAAGAGAACATCAATAGTATGTACACACACAGATATTTGCATAAAGTTCCTGCAAGTACCAACCAAATTCCTAAAACACATAACCAGAACATTCAAAATAATGTATCATAGTACCAACAGAAGCAAAGAGGCACAGTAGCAAAAGGCATCATACCACAAAAACAAAAGAAATTCGAGGTTCTTTAATACATAAAGACCTCACTACATCCCTTCCACACATAACCTAACAACTAATAGAAAGCAGCAGCAACTAACACAGACTTCACCCAGAAGGAGACTCTCCCCCTGACTCAGATGCATCCTCTTCATCCTCAGTCTCATCTCCCTTAGCCTTCTTGGACTTCTCCCCCTTTTTCGAACTACGGGATGCCGAAGGGCCTGTCCCCGAGTTCTTGTGCTGCAGCCCCTTGACAGCCTGAAGTACTTGGCCGAGATAAGCCTGCTGGCTAGCAACCTTCTTCGCCACTGCATCCCACTCAGCAAGCTGTTGGACCAAGAATTCATCCCACTTGGTGTGAACCAGAGAAGGAGCAAGATCAAACTTGGTCTTGGGAGTGGCCTTCACATTCAAGGTACGAGCACTAACCACAAAGGCTTTCCCGGGGTTCTCAAACGCATCATTGAAACGAGGGTTCACAGAGAAATTGTTAGCAGCAAGGAAGGACCAAATCAGACAAGGAAAGGGAAGAGTGCGACGAGACTCAGAATTAATGATGCAAGAGTGAATAATATCAAAAACAACCTCACAAAGTTGAACACCTGCCCATCCATGATCCAATAGAGAACTTTGCTCTGAAGTTCAGTGAGCAAATTCTTGTTGGAGGTAGGCGTCTAATTTCCAGCACCAATTTTGTGAAGGATGTTAGCGGTAAGGCAGAGAGAACTCACAGGCAGATTTGAACCAGACCAAGTATCAAGATTTTTATCAGAAAGAGTTTGGGTAACAACATCAAGATCAACCTCAGGCAATGAGGGAACATCAGCAGGAAGACCCAAATGCACATTCAAGAGCTCAGGTGAGAAATCAATAACTCTATTCCTAAGAAAGAGTTTATGAAAACGAGGGCTACCAGTAGTAAAAACAGCAGGGGTCGAATTGGCATAAAATTCCCTCATAGCTTGACCACAAAAAGGACTAAGGTTAGACAAAGTCTTAGACAAACCGACATCATCAATAAGCTTAACAATCCCCAAGTCTTCATACTTCACATCACCAAGAGGATGTTCAGCCCAAAAACCATCAGTAGAAAAATCCTCAAAACGACCAAAAGCAGCTTAAGTATAGAACCTGTTCGAGTAGGCGTTGGACAAATCATAGTCGTCATCCTCGGGTTCTTGTTCAAAAAGAGCGGTCTCCATTGGTTCTTTACCCGCGCGCCTCGCGGATCGACGGACAGACGGACGGCGAGGAGGAGTCTCTTGGTCGGAGCGAACTTCAATGGTAGTACCAGCAGTATCAGATTTGTCTCCGTCCTTGGTGGTCGACTTTGTACCAGATGTAAGAAACGCCGACGACTCCCCCGGAGTTGTGCC